AACTGAATACGACGTGCAGGCTTCACTGGACGACTCCTTCCCATCGTCGCGCACTAAGTTGGCTACTTTTACAACATTGCGCTGGCCCAGCATAGCCTCCTTCGAGGTGGAGAATGTCGGCAGGAATGGCGCAACCGTCAGCGCGACGATTGCGGACTCGCACGGTGTGGCGCAGACGGTATATGTGCGCCACCGCGCTAACAGGCTACATCGCATGGAGACCCACCAGCAGGTGATTCAGTGATGACATCGCGAGCCTGAGGCTAAGAGGGCCTGTCTTCGGGGACCGAGTATGTCGCTGAGGCATCCCTCGACGAGTCGTTCCCGTCAGACGAGACAAAGTCGGTCACATTCACCACTGTGAAGCGCGAGGATGATGATGACGCGAGCTCGAACGGAGGCGGAATTGTGCAGGCAGCACGCGCCGAGAATATACCACTGCTGGGATTCTCCCCGCAGATGCTCAGATTCGTTGCGATAGAGGGTGGAGACAATCCGGCGCCGCAGACTTTCTCAGTCTGGAACAGGGCGCAGGGAGCGATGAGCTTCATCTGTCGAACCCACGAAGATGGCTCTCGACAACAGCGATGTCGGGCGTGTCCAACCGGCCCGCGCTGACCGTCGTAGACCATTACAGCCTCAGTTGATCGGTAGAACGGTTTCCGGAAGGCAGTATGTGGACGTCATCAATATTGACAGATGACCAGCCGGCAGGTCGCCAGGACAGGTCATAGTCGTACTGGATGTGCTGCCTCCGGACTACATAAGGCAGTTCGTATCGCGCGACGAGGGCGGGAGTTGTCACTATGCCCGACGGCACTGTCAGACTCGTCGTGCCACCGGGTTCGCCGCCAAAAGACGTGGACATCGAGCTGATGAAACTCAACACGGAGGCACATGGTGAACCTCTTCGTGACAGTGAGCGTGTGGTGCTTGCACTGGATTCGAATACATACTCGCCGGGAGGCGATACTCCAGAAGACGTCGCGTACTCCCCTGCTGCGGAGTTGTGGTTGCGACTTCCAAGCAACGACAGAACAGCCTGCGATGAAGGCAAGACAAGGGTGTATTTCGTAGAGGCGGAAACATGGAGTCTCGTTGAGCATCGCTGTGAGACAGACGAATCAGGCCACGCCTGGGCAGTAACACAGGTGGAACGGCTTGGGCAGTTTGCACTGGTGATCGATGATGCTCCTGTTGTGGCGACGCCTACACCTGTGGCAGCAGCAGTCGCGCCGACACCGACCGCCATACCTGCATCGGCACCTGCAGTTGCAGTGCAGCGCGTATCACTGCCAGCACAACCGCCGACACCGACGCCAACTCAGATACCTACGCCTATGCCCTTGCCCAACGGGAAACGGGCATCGGTGCAGACAATAGGTCCGGCTCCAACCCAGACTGCAGTTCCGGCAGCGACAGAGTCATTGGCTCAAACTCTACAAGCCCTCGTCAGAGGATGGCGATTCCGGATCATTCGGCAGCATAGTCTTCGCCGCAATTGGTGCGCCCCTGATAATCGGACTTTTCATCGTGGGATACCTTGCTTACAGGGAAAGGCGGCGAACGGGCAATCCAAATCTATAGTTGAAGCAGTGCGTGTTGATCATATTTCAGGCTTTTCAAGGCAAAGATGATCAGCCACCACGCACTGTGGCGTTCGCAACATTTGCCCCTGAACAAGTCGAGGAAAACGCCGCCGCCGCCCGCCGATGCCAATCTGAGCAAATGCCCAACAACCCGCCCTGGACTCACCCCAGAAACACGCCCAGTTCGGCGTATGCAGGGTGGTAGGGCAATTGGAACACATGCTAGGGCAAGGCTTTCGCCGCGCGTCATCTCCCTGCGCCGCTCAATAGCTTCAAACTAGCTCGCCGATTCCCTCGACTCCGTCAAAGTAGCCGAAGACACCGTAACGAGTCAGCCAGCGGCCAAATGACTGGGATGCAGTTCCCGGCTCTTGAACCAAGAGGCAATACAGGATATTGGGAAATCGTCGCCTTGTGCCAATTAGCCGACTAATGCATTAACGGTGCGCGCGGTAATGTGTTGCACCACGGCAATTCTGACCGTGCCTGTGCAGTTACTCGTGCGTAACAATATGAAAGGCTACACTTGTCCTTCATATTTTGGTAACTCTTCTCTGGATTCCTGTTCTCGTTAGAGGTACGATTAGCGCATTCCAAGAGGGCAGTTTATATATTTCCAATATGAAGGAGCAAGACATGACCGATATCAGCGAGAATGATCAAATCACTGGACAGCGAGAGGATGCGAGCGATGGTAAGCGGTGACCTAGGCACATTGGGCCGCATTCTCGCTGATGAACTGACTTATGTGCATACGAGCGCAGCCGTTGACACTAAGTCCAGCATTATGGAATCCATCGGCAACGGCAACCTGAACTATCACAGGATGGCGGCACGGAATGTGCTTGTGCGGTCTTGCGGCGGTGCGGCGGTCGTAACTGGCGAGGCGGATGTTGAGGTTACTTCACGTGGAAACGACCTGACATTTTCGCTTCGATTTACGGATGTATATGCGAACGGAGACGAAGGTTGGCAGATGGTGGCTTGGCAGTCAACAAGGTTGCCGGAGAACTAACCCATAGTCGCCAATGACCACTATACGCAATGGGCAAATTTGAGGTGACCGGATTAGCTCGCCCTTGACCGGCATCAATTCAGGCCGTCGAGAACAGCGCAGGTGCCGGACCAGTCGGGTGAGCTAAACAGTCCGTCCTTCTCATCCTATTTCGGTAAGTGAAGGAGGCATCGATTTGCCCGCTATCCTTCTCTCGGAATGATAGTGGCTTCCCATATTTCCGTTTGTTCCAGTCGCTCCAATCAAACCAGATGAAAGATGGGCAGGAATCCGTTCCACCGCCTGCTGCCCTGAGTTCGCCGTCGTTGCGCTTTCCGGTAAGGCTGTCCACCTGGCTAAGCCGTTTCAGCCCCTCATCTACTAGGATAGTGCGGTCTCACGCGGTCGCCTTCGACGCTGAATGTGAAGCGGTGAGCCTCCGGGGCTGCGATCAAAGGCGAGCGCCGTGCCAGTGGAGGCTCGAAGAAAATTAGCACCTCCTCGTCTGTGAGATGTCGTTTGACGACCTGCTCGCGCTTAGGGCGCTGAAGGGTATGCCTGCGTTGCGTCGAGGTTACACCTACTACACGCTCCTTCGCGTATAGGCGGTCGTCGGTGTTGAACTGACCGTGGATGCCCGATTGTTCATTTCGTAATAGTGGACATAGGAGTCCTGTTGATACGGCGCCCCCCTTTCGAGCACTGTTGTGTCAGGTGGAGCTCCTCCATGGCCTGCCAACTGGTCTCGTTGCGGGTATGGCGATAGCTGCGCGTCTTTGAGGGGACCTTCGACGCCCTTGCTGAGGAACTGGCTCCAGAGTGTGTCAGTCTGGTGGTCGTACATGACGAGTGCGTTCATTATGAGCTTGCCTGAGACGCCGAAGGTGTGCTCGTTGCCGTCGATCTGGCGGCCATAGACTATGGCCGAGTAGCAAAGCGGTCACCATGTTACGGCGACGGGCTTGCCGCCGACGGTATCGTTGACGATTTCGTGGCGGCTGAGCATGGGTATGGAGTATGCGCGGTGGTCGCCGTTGATGGACAGTCCGATGACCTGCTCGCTTGGCGCCATCCACTCATCGGCCTCTTCAATGACTCACGATCTTGGGTTCGAGGATGGCGGGTATGGCGTCGTAGCCGAGTACGGTGATGATGTCGTAGCGAGGCTCGGTGCCCGGTTTAATTGGATCAGGCTGCCACTTCGCCTCACCGTTGATTGGCGCCGGCTCTCCCGGGGCGCTTCCACCGAAGCGGGGGATGACCTTTTCTTCGAAGAAAGGAGTCAGAAGGGGCGCGAGAAGGCTGAAAACGAGCAGGATGGCTACGGAGAAGACTCCGATTTTGGCAAGAATCGACATTTGTGTCCTTTTAGTATTCAGTTAGCAGTTTTTAGTTCGCCATCCCACCTTTCGGCAGTCTCGGGGCAAACAGGAATGTGTTCCAATTATCTATCCGCAAAGACAGCCTCGCAAGACGGCGATTGCCACGATTGTTTATGTGAATGCCATGCTTGTATAAAGCATAGCACGACTGAACGCTAGGAGAGGGTGCGGTCGGCTGTTCCCCAGCGCTGCTGATGGGATGTTATGAGGCCACGGAGGTCTTCGCGGTATGACACGCTGTGAATGGCGGATGCAGTCATGATGAGTGCGTCTTCGCGGTTGTCGGAGTAGTATGCCTTGCGGACGCCCATCTTCTCGAAGCCATACTTCTTATAGAGGTTCTGGGCGATGTGGTTGGAGACGCGAACTTCGAGAGTGACGGCGTGCATTCTGCGGGAGATTGCCTGCTCAATCGCGCCTATGATTAGGAGTTCACCGATGCCGTATCCGCGGTAGTCGGTGCGGACGCCAACGGATACGATGTGCGCTTCATCGTGCATGTACCAAGTGCCGAGGAAGCCGGCGAGGTATTGGTGGCCCGGCTGCCAGGCAGAGGGACGTCCACGCCACAGGCTTGCTGCGCGATGGAGGAAGCGTTGGTGTACGCCCGCAGTTTGAGATTCATGGTGTGCCGCAATTTCGGGCGGGGCTTCACGTCGCCAGGCTACGAGGTAACGAGCGAGGCGATTTTTTAACTCGCGTCGGAACGATGTGGGAGGAAACAATGTGGGGAAGGCGTCGCGCTCGATCTCGGCCGCCTGCGCAAGGTCTTGCTCTTGCATCGGACGCAGGGCATACGGCATCTTATCGATGTGGCGCATGTTCTGTACGGCACTCATGGCTACTCCTTAGGGCATGCGGCATTTTAGCAGGAAGATAGTCGGTATGTCAGTTCCTTGATAATCAACTTGTCTTACATAGTCGCAAAATTCGGCGGACCTGAAATTGAAAATATCCAATCAGAGGCACTAACTTATTGAAAAAATCGGCGTTATAATGGTTAGCAAAAGCGTTTGGTGTGAGAGAAGGGTTGCGATGCAGGCGCAAATTCAGGGTCAGGACAATGTAGCTACGCTGGTAAGGCAGGCGCAAGACGGGGGCGCTGCAGCGTTTTCTGCATTGTACGAGCACTACTACGATTCCATCTTTCGCTATGTTTCATTCCGCACGGGGAGCACCGCGGATGCGGAGGACATAACCGCAGAGGTGTTTGTGCGAATGATCGAGTCCATTCACCGCTTCAAGTGGAAGGGTTACCCGTTCAGTTCTTGGCTGTTTCGAATTGCACACAACCTGGTTGTGGACTTCTATCGCAAGAAGGGAAGGCGCCAAACGATTTCGCTGGAGAAGGCGCCGCCCATTGTGGAGACAGCAATGTTCGATCCTGATGCTCGCATAGACATGGAACTGACAATGGGAGATGTCCGGAAGGCGATGGAGAGCCTGACCGATCTTCAGCGGGAGGCTATCACGCTGCGGTTTGCGGCGGGACTGTCGGTTGCGGAGACTGCTAAGGCGATGGGAAAGAAGGACAACGCTGTGAAGGCTCTGCAGCACGCAGGGCTGAAAAAGCTGAGACGGACGCTATGCTCGGAGACCAATGGACGCGCTGCGGTGGCTGTGTGATGCTCAGAGTGATACACGTGGAACTAACATCGATATACAGGATGGACGGGCTTTTCGCCTCCATCCCAGCCTTGCCCCATTTAGGGGAAAGGAATCTAGTGTCTGAAGGTTGAGATGAGTGATTCTCACTTAGACAATATATTGGATGAGTGCTTGGAGCGGCTGGCTGCGGGCGAGAGTGTTACGGACTGCCTAGCGCGGTATCCGGAACATGCGGATGAGCTTGCACCTCTGCTTGGATGATGCACGCCACTATGCAGGCTTCACGTGCAGCTACACCTAGCGCGGCAGGCAAAGCGCGCGGGATGGAACGGATGCAGGCTGCGCTCACGGAAGGTCGGCATAGACGCGGCAGACGGCTGCAATTGTCGAGGATATTCTGGCGGCCCATCACCACGCCGATTGCGGCGGCATTCGCGGTGGTGTTTCTGACCATCATTGCGGCCGGTGGTACGACGGTTGCGTCCGCGCACAGCATTCCGGGGGAGCCTCTATACCCGGTGAAGAGCATTCGGGAGGGTGTGGAGGAGCGGATTGCGCGCACTGATGAGCACAAGGCGCAAGTGCATGCAAAGTTGGCACGCGAACGCGGCAGGGAGATGGGCGAACTCATAGTTAGGGGACGCATCTACGAGGCGGAGGTGGTGGCGTTCCGACTTCACAAGCATCTGAACAAGTCGGCGACTCACATGGGCGTGGTAGTGTCATCGCACTTCATCGAGATGCCGCGCGTTCCGGCACATCCCAGTCACAGTGCAGATGCACTTCGGCAGAGGCTGAGCCACGACGAGGCTTATGTAAAAGGGCAGCTCACGGCAGTTGTAAAGCAGGTTCCGGAACCACATAAGCATCGCGTATGGCGGCTGATGCATCAGTCGGACCTGGGATATCGTGTGGTGATAGTTGCGCTGGACGGAAGAGGCGAGCCGACGGTGATGGGCTATTACCGGATTGCGGCGGCCAATGGAGCGCCGAGTCGGAATTAGGGGTTTCCCCAGAACTCCGAATGACTTCCTTGTTGCGAAGTATTGCCCATTCATCGACTAAGGCAAGCTAGTTTCGCAACTATCTATTCACCGTGAGATTGGCGAGCTAAACGCCGGCCATATACCCCTTTCTCGGAAGCAATCATATATTGCGATTTCACCTCTTCCTGACCTCTCCACGTCCTTTGGAAAAGTGACTTCTCTCGGCCAACATTTAGCGCTACCCTCAGCTAAGTTCTGCGCGCGTTTCTTTCGCGGTGTCCCTGATCTGATTACAACTTCTAACCAGAGCGGGCGCAGGATGATCATTTCCTGCGCCCGCTTCTGTTTTCATGTGCTGGGCATCAGCGTACGCTGATGCCCAGCAAGTTCGTTACTAGGGCACGTCGAAGCTGCCCCAGCATATCACGGCGCCGTCGTCCCGCAAGGCGCAGGTGTGGTTATCGCCACTACTAATCTGCGTGAAGTGTCCGCTCGTGGGCCGCTCTGAGACCTGTCCTTCGCTATCTTCGCCCCAGCACATTATCGAGCCGTCAGTCGCTATGGCGCAGACGTGATTTGCGCCGCTGCTGATTGCTATGTACGGCACGGCAGGCGGCGGCTCGGGCGGTTCTCCGATCGCATCAATGTCCACGACGAGAGTGAAGTCGCCTGATGTTTGGGCGGCGTATGTAGTCGCCTCGATCGTGTATTCACCCGGCTCCAGGAGAGTGGCAGGTATCTGCGAGTTGGTGTTGCCCGAGACGATGTCGTCATTGGACTCAACGACTTCGCCGTTTCTGCCGGTGCCCTTCATCAGGTACAGGTATGCGTCCTCTGCTGATGACAGATCAATTGTTACATTCGCACTTCCGTCCAGAGTGAACGTGTAGAAGCGCGCGTACCTGTCGCCGGAGCCTTGCTCGGCGGGCTTATCGGAGAGGCAGGTCTCGTCCCAGATTCCGGTGTACGTGCCGCTGCCGTCGATCGTCTGTACGCAAGTGTCAGCCGCCGGTGGAGTGACGCCTTCAACGTCGTCAGGGAGAATTGCGAAGCCGTGTCCCCAGGTGCTGTTGGCGTCCGTGCCAGGGCCGGGGTAGTCGTCTTCGGCAGAGCGTGATTCCGCGTTGTCCCTGAGGTAGTTTGTGACCTGTTCGGGCGTATAGTCCGGGTAGCGCTGCGTGACGAGCGCTGCGAGTCCGGCGACGTGCGCCGCAGCCTCGCCTGTTCCGCGCCAGTACTGGTGTCCATCAAGCTCACAAGTTCCGACTCCGCCAACTACGTCAGGCTTGTTTCTGCCGTCCGTGTTGAAAGGAGCCGTAGGCCCTCGGCTGCTAGTTTCGCAGATTTCTGATGTGTTGTCGAATGCCGCGGCTCCCACGGTCAGCATGCCCGCATTGGAGGCTTCCCCGGTATCAGAGATACTGCCCCAGCGTGTGGCGTTACCAAGACTGTGTTGCAGAGAATGTATCTGTATCCAGGCCGGTGGCGTAAGCTCTTTGCCTGCCCGAGCCTTTAACTCTACGCTCAGACAGTAGGTGCCGCCAACTTCGGGCGTAGTGAAAACGACTGTTTCCAACGGGTAGGCTGCATAACCTGGAATATTCGCAACGGGCTGCTCGTCGATTCAATACCCAATGTGTCCTGATTTCTCAATACCAAGTGAACTTCACTGTTCAGATCACCCCAGGTGTCGTCCCACCGAATCACCGCGCCATACTGATGCGTTTCTTCGTCCAGGGCTACGGGATTGCACTCGTCAACATCGCTCCCCGGAGTGAGCGAATTGAAGTCATGGTAGCCGTTGCCATCGATGTCGCTGAACGGTCCGGCCCACACATCGTTCGCAAAATTCCCTGCGGAGCTGACCCAAGTGATGCCGTGTTCCACTGCATGATCCACCGAGTTAATTGGAGCAAGGCCGGAGGTCAGATGTAGCGGGCCCGTGCCATCGCCCGGAGTAAGCCATAATTCATCCTTCGGGTGTAAGATAATGTCCACATCTTCCTCGATCATCCAGTCGACAATAATCCTAAGCTGATGAACGGCTTTTCTGGGGTGCGCGCTTATGTAGTATTCGGCTTCAGGAGCAATATCGAACACTGCTTTAACCGCTTCTGTACCGCCTGTCCCGTCTAGCAGCGCATCGTTGCTGCCGCTGCCTCGCAGACTGAAAGGTCGTGGGTGGGTATTTGATCTGCTAAGGTTTCAAAACACGCCGCCTGCACCGATGCGGGCGCTTCCGTCGTTTCTAGGGCGGCTTGAAGTCCTTCAAAACCGAAGTCGATGATGCCGATTTTGACGCCTTCGCCCTTGAAGCCAGCTTCGTGCCATGCGTCTGCGCCGTGAGCGGCTATGGCGCTGGATATGGCTTGCTGGTTCGAGATGGACTGTTGGGTGTGAGTTTGCGATTCATGGTTGCTCGCTTCGACGTTTGCTAAGTCGATCGGAGAGGGAATGCCTGATGGCAGTACCCCGGAGATGGCTGCAAGAGCGAACACGCTAAGCAGCATGAGAGCGGCGATGCTTATCTTTCTATTCATGGGAATGGAGCCCTCCTCACTGAAAATATTATTGCCGTTTGAAGTTGGGGCGCGAATTGTAACATGCAAGATGAAACATTTATAAGTCGCAATGATTGTAAGTATCAATAATGATAAATTGGGCTTACATTGTAGTTACGCCCTGGGGAATTTTCTATGGAGGAAGGCTTCCATTGGAATGACTGCTAGAAACGATCACCTGTGGTGAGAAAAGAATGTTGACAGACTCTGCGGATGCGTACACTATGGTTACGACATTGATGGCAGGAAACGGAGCATGAATTTGATCTCAGAGCTGCGGGCTAGTCCGTTCAAGCAGTTCGTTTACATGTTCGTGGCGACCATAGTGATACAGACGCTGCATATGGTCGAGCATGTTGCGCAGGTCTTGCAGAAGTTTGTGCTGGACTTTCCATATGCGCACGGTCTGATAGGCTCGTTTGACCTGGAGCAGGTGCATTTCATTTTCAACCTGATGTATCTGGGCGCGCTCATTTATGTGACGCTGGGGTGGCTGAACTTCGGAAGACGGGTGTGCAGGCAGGAGAAGATGCTGGGAGGGTTGCTGATTGCGACGGTGGTGGTGCAGGGGTATCACATGGTGGAGCATTCGGCGAGGCTGGTGCAGTTTCTGAACACAGGTCTTCAGGGAACTCCGGGGTTGCTGGGGGGACACTTCGACGGGGTGATATTCCATGCGTTGATGAACACGGCGGTGTATCTGCCGGCGGTGGTGGTGTTCGTGTGTTCGGGGATGCACAGGCAGATTTTTTCGAGGGACTACGGCGCTCGACGTCCGTGATAAGGGTTCAGATTGTTGAGGCAAGCTCGGCGTATTGGAAGCACCCGCCAATTCCCTTGGCGGGCGCTTTCTGCGTTATAGGGTAGGTCTCGTGATGCTTATGGAGTGATGAAGGGGCACAAATAGTTACCATAATCTATGCTACAAGTGGTACAATGCTTCGTTGAAGGGCGGAAATTGGGTGGACTGCGCGACTTTAAGGTTGCGATTGTGGGGCTTACTGCGAATCAGAGGAGGGACTGAAGCGCGTATGGAAGTTATATGGCGAATTGTCAAGATGGCCTTAAGTCGCAGACGGGAGATGACCGCTGCGTACTCGGCGATGATAGGAGCTACGACAGCTTACCTGTTTCTGCCGCACTTGTTCGGGCAGGCGATCGACCAGATTGAGGCGATGCTGAAGGGCGGCTCGGTTCAGATACAGGGCCTGCTGGTGATAGTCGGTGTCATCATCGGACTGAGCATAGTTCGTGGGGGGCTCTCGTTCTTCCAGAACTATTTCGGAGAAGCAGGTGTCGCAGTTTGTGTCCTACGACCTGCGGAACAAGCTGTACGACCATGTGCAGCATCTGAGCTTCGGATTCCACGACAGGAACCACACAGGGCAGGTGATGTCGCGGGCGATTACGGATGTGGAGAACATCCGGATGTTCGTGAATATGGGCATAGTGCGGACGCCGTACTTCCTGACGTTGTTCGTGGTGGTGTCCATCATCCTTGTCAGGATGGACTGGCAGCTTGGGCTGGCGAGCATTGCTTTCGTGCCGCTGGTGGTAATAGTGTCGGGTGTGGTGCGGCTGAAGCTCAGGCTGGCGTGGCTGAAGATACAGGACATGATGGCAGAGCTGAACACGGTGCTGCAGGAGAACCTGACGGGGCAGCGCGTTGTGAAGGCTTTTGCGTCGGAGGAGTTCGAGAACCGCAAGTACAACGACAAGAGCATGGAAGTTTCGGAAGCGTTCATGTCCGCTGAGAAGCTGCGGGCGGCGAACACAGCGTTCACGCTGTTCTCGTTCCAGATGGGGCTGGTGATAATCCTGCTGTTCGGTGGTTGGCGGTATCTCAGCGGCGACTTGACTATCGGTCAGCTTGCGGCATTTGTGTTTTACATGCAGATTCTGGCTATGCCGGTGCGGATGTCGGGCTTCCTGGTGAACGCATACGCGAGGGCTGCGTCGGGCGGGCAGCGGCTGTTCGAGATACTGGACACGGAATCTGATGTGGTGGAGAAGGCGGATGCCATAGAACTAGGCCGCGTCGAAGGGCGAGTGCGCTTCGAAGATGTGAGCTTCAGCTACCAAGAGGGCAAACCGGCGCTAAAGAACATCAACCTGGAGGCGGATCCTGGTAAGGTGGTGGCGCTGATCGGGACGCCGGGGAGCGGGAAGAGCACAATCGCGAGCTTGCTGCCGCGCTTCTATGAGGTGAATTCGGGACGCATCACGATTGATGGTATAGACATACGGGATGTGACGCTGAAGTCGCTGCGACAGAACATGGGGATAGTGCAGCAGGATGTGTTCCTGTTCGGGGCGGGTCTGCGCGAGAATATCGCATACGGCAGGGAGGACGCGCCAATCGAGGATGTGATTCGGGCTGCGAAGGTAGCGCAGTTGCACGACTTCATATCGGCGCTGGACGGCAGCTACGATACGGAGGTCGGTGAGCGAGGCGTGAACCTGTCGGGCGGTCAGCGGCAGAGGATGTCGATCGCGCGCGCGGTGTTGCTTGATCCGCCGATCTGGTGCTGGACGACTCGACTTCGAGCGTGGACGCGAACACAGAGGACTTGATTAGGCAGGCGATGGAAGAGGTGATGAAGGGTCGGACGACGCTGATAATCGCGCACAGGCTGAGCACGGTACACAGGGCCGATGAGATTATCGTGCTAGACAGAGGCGAGGTTGTCGAGCGTGGGACGCATCAGGAGCTTCTTGCGCTGGGCGGCAATTACCGCGAGATATACGAGTTGCAACTTCGCCCGCAGGAAGAGGTTATGCGGGATATTGATGTGGGCAATGATGTTCCGGCAGCGAGAGCGAAGGAGGCTGTCACCCTATGATGATGCACGGACACGCATTTAGCGGGAGAGGCAGGGGCGAAGACGTCGACGGGGACACCTTTGGGCGGGTGTATGACAGGCGGGTGATACTGCGGCTGATGCCGTATGTGCGCCCGTACAGAAAGACGGCGATATTCGCGTTCATAGCGATGCTGGTTTATACCGGCTCGCAGTTGGCGATACCGTTTCTGCTGAAGCTGGGAATCGACGACTATATCGAGCAAGGGGACTTCCGCGGGCTGCTGGCGGTGGGCGGGATATTCATCGCTGTTGCGCTGGGCGGCCTTGTGGCGAACTACTTTCAGCAGATGTTCATGGCACGGGTCGGGCTTGGTATGCTGTACGACCTGCGCAGGGCGATGTTCGCGCACCTGCAGAAACTCTCACTTTCGTACTATGACAAGACGGCAGTCGGGCGGATAATGTCGCGCGTTCAGGGGGATGTGTGGCAGTTGCAAGAGCTTATGACCATGGTCATTATGACGGCGGCGGACTTGCTGAGTCTGACGGGAATCGTGGTTATGCTGCTCATCATGAACCTGAAGCTTGGGCTGATAACGATGGTTGTGCTGCCGATACTCGCACTGACGATGGCAATCTGGCAGCCTTTCGCGGTGAAGGCGTTTTTGCGAGTGCGGACGGCGATTTCCATCGTGAACGGGGCGCTGAACGAGAACATCACGGGCGTGCGCGTGGTGCAGTCGCTGAACAGGCAGCCGCGCAATCTGGAGATGTTCGACGAGAAGAACACCGAGCACCTGAATGCTAACCTGCGGGCGGGCAAGCTGTCGTCGAGCCTGCTGCCGGCGGTGGACATTCTGACGGCTGTTGCGATCGTGCTGGCGATATTCTTCGGCTCAAGCATGGTGAGCGGCAACGAGCTGGAAATCGGTGTGCTGATTGCGTTCATCATGTACATACAGCGCTTCTTCGACCCGATACGCAACCTGACGATGCAGTACACGCAGTTGCAACGCTCGATGGCGTCCGGAGCGCGGATATTCGAGCTGCTGGATGTTGAGCCGGACCTTGTGGACAATCCGGACGCGAGCAGGCTGCCGCAGCTCAAGGGCGATGTGGTATTGAAGGACCTGAGCTTCAGCTACTCGGCAAGCGAAGATATCGTGCGGCTGGACAGGGAAGCAGGTTCGGTGAACAGCAGGAACGGCACAGCCAATGGCGCGAGCAGTGTGCCGGATGTGCTGAAGCACTTGTCGCTGCATATCAATCCGGGCGAGACGGTGGCGGTTGTGGGACCGACGGGCGCGGGTAAGACGACGCTTGTGTCTCTGATTTCGCGCTTCTACGATGTGCCGCGCGAGAAGGGCGCGATACTGGTGGACGGCTACGACATCCGTGATGTTACGCGCAGTTCGCTGGCGGGTCAGATGAGCATGGTGCTTCAAGAGCCGTTCCTGTTCTCCGGGACGGTGCGGGATAACATCAAGTACAATCATCCGGGCGCGAGCGACGAGCACATGATCGAGGCGTCCGAAGGCGGTAGGCGTCCACGACATCATCATGCAACTGGACGACGGGTACGACACTTACCTCGCGGAGCGGGGGTTGAACTGAGCCTTGGTCAGCGACAGCTGCTGAGCTTCGCAAGGGCGATTGTCGCGGACCCGCGCATTCTGATTCTGGACGAGGCGACAGCGAATATCGACAGCTACACGGAGATGCTGATTCAGCAGGCGCTGCAAAAGTTGCTGCAGGACCGGACGGCTATCGTGATCGCGCACCGGCTATCGACGATAAGGGGCGCGGACAAGATTGTGGTGCTGAACCAAGGGGAGATTGTTGAAGTCGGGACGCATGCGTCGCTGATGGAGCAGGACGGGCTGTACGCGCATCTGTATAGCATGAACTACGCGCGCGATGGAGGAGGCTGCTGAGGGTGCGCAGAGCTAGGCGTCGGTACAGGATAGCGGGGATGGGGCGATAGGGGCATTCTCATTACGAGCAATTAGGGGCGGTCTTCGGACCGCCC